TCGAATAAGACATTCATGCCGATTCCTTTTCTAGTCATGCATTCCCCCCCCACCCCCCCCTCTCCAGGAAGCATCCATCCCAAGCATGCATAACAACATCTAACTGTCATCGTCTCAGCAACATTCCAGTTATTCATCTGTCAAAATTGGAGCATGACCACTAGGACATTCATGCCAAATTCTTCCTTGGTTGTTCATTCCCGGGAAGAACCTTCCCTATTCATTCTTGGAATAAGGCGTGAGCGCGCGGCTATGCGCATAATTATACACATGTTTTCTACATGTGTATAATTATGCGCAAAGGAAGGATGTTTCTTTTGAGGTCCTGGAGATCCTAAGGGAAATGAAAACATCCGGGAGAGAATTGAATATTGATACAGTTCTATTAGGGAAATATACGTCCTCGTATATTCCTGCTTTGAAATGTCCAAACCTGAAAAGAATAAGTTTACTGACTGATGCCCTCGTCGTGCGTGGGAGAGTCTTCATAGCTCTTCAAAGACCACCAGAAAGCTTGAGGAAAATAAAGATCGTAGATGAAGAAGCCGGCAGTGCAATCGCAACAGAGTTTGTGAGAATGGATGGGAGACTACATGTGGGACGTGGTGCTACCACGCCATCCTTGCTCACCAGATCTGGCACCAAGCGATTTTTTACGTTTCAAGAAAAGTTTCTCAGAGGGCAACGATTTCCAAGCCTGCAGGCACTCGACACGGAGTCGCAACAGTGGGCTCGGTCTGCTCCAAAGTATCATTTACAAATGGACTGTACCAACTTCTAGGAAGTTGGCGCAATTGTTAACGAATTGGCGGTGATTCAATTGAAAAATAACAGTAACAGCTGCAATCCTCCTCATTTATGCCGCTGTTATAGAAAAAGTTCAGACAGGAAGGTTTTCATGAAGTTCTTGAATGTGGAAGGAGCAATGAAAGACAGTAATTTTGTCCGGAATCGAGCTGACAAAAAAACTATTGAAGAGGAAGGTATAGTTAGCCATGGTCGTCACAACCCTGAAGATTTTGCAGGAACCCTTTGTAGTGCATTCAAATGTCTGTCTTCAAAGGTGTCAAAAGACAAAAGGGAAAAAACCTTCCATAGGAAGAAGGGGTTTGAAATCATTAAGAAATTTTAGTGATTAAATAGTCGAGGGCGGACCTAAAGGGACAAAAACCACATTGGCCTCGTTCAGGCACTACCCAGCTTGCCTGGCAATCCGGGAAATTCCCAGGAATTAATGGTGCCCTAAACGGCACAGCCAACCTCTGCGACCCCGGGGGCCGGGCAAAAACAGGACCAGCAAATAGTTTGTTAGTTTTTTTTTTCTCGGGAGGCTGGGAAACAGGCTATGTCGGAACACGCCTTTAATGCATTCCCGGGTTCTCTCTTATTTTTTACTTTTCGGAGTGAGCAAGTGCATCTCATTATCGTGACGGCAGGCGAATGGAATGATGATACTCAACACTTCATTTCAATTTGGAAGGAAGAGCGAATTCGCGACATGTTTAATGGGACTATACGTAACGACCAAGTGTATCTAATGATATCTGCTCGACTGCAAGAAAAGGAATTAAAGAAGTCTCCTGCAGCGGTGCAAAACAAAAGGAAACTTCTCAAAGAAGAGTTACCATGAAGTTCGTGATGAAACCAAAAAGGAAAGTACTGAGCGAGGAGAGCGTTATGATGCATGGCAAGCAGAGTAGGAGAAAGCTGTGCAGGACGGGGATGACTGAACAGTCCTCAATCCTGGAAATTTACGCCCTGCGGCTAGGATTAAGACCTTGGCATATTTTTGTGCCTGAACCCCATCATCGTAGACATTCTCAGTACGCCAGGCAAGCAGGGTTTCTCGTGTGCCTGAACGAGGCTATTGTGCGTCAACGACCAGATTTTTTCTCCCTCTCTATCTCTCTGTAAGCTTTCAAACAGATGGAGGATTGATCCAAATTCCAACAATGAAAGTTCATCAGTTCAACTTGGCCAGTTGCCACCCCCTTTGCCAGAGACCGAGGCAAGTCTGTTGCTGATCGGTTTATACTGTAGGGCCTCCGTCGCCAGCATGGATTCATGGTTCCACTTCCGTCATTCTTGTTAGTATCAGCACCTGAATTTCTATCAACTTTAGATGGCGTTCCCCATTGGCTTGCTCGGCCTGTTTGCTTTCATCCCCCATGGTTCCAAATTTGTGAGTTCTGTCTGATTTTTTTTTTAAGTGGAATGCGGAGATCCATTACCTCTGATTTTTTTGTCGATATACAGTACGTAGATTAGAATTTCATCACGACTAATTCTGAAGACATTTTACCCGGTGGATGCTTGTCAAGTGAAGGTATAGGCTATTCCAATCAGCTTGATAGTATGTATAAACTGGGTAAGGGCTGGAACACTAATCATATGCAACAACCACAACAGACAAGTCAACGGGATTTGAGACCGCTAGAGTGCTGCTTTGGTTGAATTCTAAGAGAAAGAGAGAGAGAGAGAGATGATCGTAAAAAATACCGCCTAGAAAAATATGGCATCTCCAGTAATTACTTGCTTCAGACTATGGGTTTCGGGTATTTCAAACTGCCACTGACTCTCAGCAGTGGCTGTGGGATTGAGTAACCAGTTGCTTTGATGAGACTTTCCATCACGACCTCAGAGGTGGTGAAAGAGTATGAAATGGTGTATGAAAAATCTCCACTGCGCAATCCTGTCGTTCTTCTAGCATCCGAATCATTCACCTAAGAGTTGTAGGATCCTCACTGGGACATTCATGCCATGATCTCTATCTATGTCGTCCATTCCGTCGGGAAAACCCCTTCCATGCATACACAACACCCTCCTCCTACCATCGTCCCTGCAACACTGCAGTTGCGAAGATGCAGGGGATCCCGAATAAGACATTCATGCGAATCCTTTTCTAGTCCATTCTTTTCTAATCCATTCCCCCCACTCCCCCCTCAGGAGCACTCAGAAAAACTTCCTCCTGTCATTGTTTCTACTACATCCTAATCATTCGCTTGTCAAGAATTTGAGGATGATCACCAGGACATTGATGATACTCCCCTGCTGGCCATGCCTCCTCCTGGGAAAGTCTCCTTCACGCACCTGAGAAATGTAATAATTTCACCTGTTTCCTTCATAAATGCGAAAGCACCCTCCGTACCGTTGGAGTGGGTCTCGTGCAATGATTCTGGAATGAGTTCACACATCTTTATAATGGAAACCATTCCTTTTTTTATTATAGGCCTACATATGCCAGAAAAGTTGGCGTTTCCTTCATTGTACAATAGATGTCGGGTGTGCCCCGTCAGGCGCATGCATGGCTCTTATGATGTGACGAGATGATCCAGTCAGCGCGCAAGATCGAGGGCTGGGTGTCGCGATCAAGCTCAAAATGTCACTAAAGCTGAAGCGCCAGAAGCGTCAGCCCTTATAGTAGTTTGTGAACTCATACCGAAATCATTGTATTGGAGGCCCACTAGGTCTCTTCCCGTTTCGACAGAGTTATGCCCTACTTTCCAACGTCATATTTTCCCTGGGAGTTGGAAGCAATTACAGGGCCGGACTTAGGTATTTACTAGATGCGCAATTGCATACTTCGAAAAATTCACCAGAGGCGCCAAAATGTGACCGAATGAATGAAGCTAGAATGTAGGAAACTCTCATTTTATCTCGGGAAATTTATATCGACCATCACGGTGTCTTTGGGGGCGCAAGACCGTTATTCCTTCCCCCCTAATCCCTACGGGCTCTTCACTAACGCCACCACGAGACACACGTGATTTCATGCAACATTGTCAGAGATGTGTACTTGCACCGCAACGATAGATCTCTTGTCTTACGCAGAAATAGAGGCTGTATTGTACAATCTGAACACACGATACGTCACCTATTTATCCCTATTCTACGAGGGTAATACAAATTTGCGGTGGTGGGAGGGGCTCTGACTTTCCTTTCGCAGCCGGCGCCAACGAAATATGGACCGGTCCTGGGTCGTCATAATAGGACGGTCGATCCGATCGAGTCATCACGGCAAACCCAGGAATGGAGGGTCGTTATCCTTGTTTTATAGGGGACATTTCGTTCCTCTTACGCGTGAAAATGGCTAATACGTTCAGGCATGGCATGCTTATGCAGGGTGCTCATTAAATGAAGAAACGCCGACGCAGCGTTCTATTCCCAATAAATTGACTTCACTTATTCAAATCGTCAGTCTAATGGCGAGGAAAACGTGGAGGTTCAAGTTTCTGCTGATAAATTTGCTTTTGACGTCTAAAACTCTTCGCAGATCAGAAGCCACGATCTCATTTCAGATTGACATGGATCCTAGGAGAAACTTTCGACGCATGAAAGAGAAGAGCAACTTTTCACTTTTTGGTGCTCTCGTTGCTTCGTGGTGTAGACGTTAAGAGGAAGAATGCATGACAAATCTATTCTACAAGTTCAAATTCCTTCGGGAAAAAATCGGAGACCGACGTGAGTAGTCTGGGATTATCCCTCCAGTGAAAAAAAAAACAACGATTTTAAGGCGAAAGTCGCCCGTGAAGGCATAAATAAATTGCAGAAATCTTCACTCAATGCTTTAAACTGTGGAAAAGGCATTTTTGCCGGATACATGCAAATGCAGACAGTGATATTTACTCGGACCTAACTTTCTTCTCGTCAGCTGCTCACCGCTTGTGCGTCTCTTTTAAGTGAGAACAGCAAGAACACGCTAATATTTGCGTCTCAAAGAAAGCACATAGCTCCTCCCCTGAAATATTTGCATATTGAGGAAGACTCAAGTTCCTTTTCTCACTGGGACGTATTTGCTTCATGGATCTTGCAACTTTTTGCAATTGCGTCCTCGTGTGAAAAGGTCTTATATAATTTCTGTGGAAGAACTGACGATCGGACACTTGTGGAAATTCAGACGTGATGCAATGATGGGATTTGCCATCCGATCGACTGCCTGGCGAAGCGATTCAAGCAATCCGATTCATTCCCGGGTGGAAAATCGATGGAATTATTAATAGTCAACGGCGAGCAGCAGAGACGCCCTCACCGAATCCCGGCAGGAGAGTGTTGAGGGCGGCCAGGAAGACGGCCAAGGGTAAGGGAAGAGAAGGTAAAGCCCGGCGGAACTTCCCCGGCTTCTCCTCCACCGACAGGATCTCCAGCCGAGACACCTGGCCGTCTGGGGACGTGTACACCACCTGTCGATGGGTTATCACAAACTCCAGGAACTCCTCATAAATCATTTGGTTCGCGTCGATGACACTGCGGTCGTCCATCGTCTCATCCCCGGTTCCAAGACTCCTATTTCTCTTGATTCCCTGCCAAATTTCGCGCGTTCTTCCGAGCGGAATGCGAGGAACAACGGCCTAATTCTTTTTTCTCTTTCTTTCTATTTTTTCAACACCTCACCTCTTGAGATATTCTTTGCGACTATTCCAATCCAGATGGAGTTGGCCACCCAAAGCGAACTTTATTTTCTACTACTGGCTCATCCTCTGCTTAAGAAATCTCCCATATGGCATGTGATGTGACGACGTAGTGAATTCTCGGTGCGTGGGAAGTTTCTGCGATGTGGTTCTCAGACTGGCGAAAGAGGACTTAGTTTGAATATCGGGGAAGAGCCAGATATGAGTCGCGAGGCAGTGAACCTTACTAGCAGACGCTGCAAATATTGATGGTTTCCCAGAAAGCAAATAAACATTCGGCTCCATCAGACACACCGGGGGGTGTCACGTGATTTTACATAAATATAGAAAAAGAGGTATACCTGTCTGGCACTCTTAGTTCATCAAGTTCCCAAGACGTTCCAACTTTAATTTTCTCCTCCTACTTAATATGTATATACGAAACGATTCGAAGCTGTTCCTGAAGTAATCGACAGGTGGAGGCATTTATGTTCACCTGGTTTTCCTTGAATGAATATTCATTTGACTATATTTTGCTAATACATTAATATTTGGCAGGAATGAAAAAACTATCCAAAAACCCATTAGCAAGGTCTTATTAAATTTGGTATTTGATAGGTGTCTAAACCCCAGTATTAGAAAAGAAAGATTCCGTCACTACTCATCCGTACACACTTTTCGAAAGATTTAATCTATGAGCAGGACGTGATCACACATGTATAGTAGAATCTAAACTCTCTATCTGTATAAACTCATAGAAAGTGATCCAAGGCATTCCATGCATGTCATCATATCCCACTTCCTTTTTTTCTAGTGACTGCGAACGTAAACAATTCCAAAGTTTTCCAATTCTCTTTCACTAGTTTCAGTGGCGTGCGGTGGTATATGCCACAGGTCATGCAGATGTTTCCCAACGGAGCATGAAAACAAAATAAAATAAGACCTACTTATTTCATTTGTAGACAAAGTCCAACCGATCTGAGTTAAATGAAATACCATGAATCGTATGGAAATAGAAAGCAATATCAAATCAATACGGAATGGGGTGAACACTCATGATATTTGGTAAACGCTACGTTTTTCTCTTCCAAACTGATCATGTAGTGCATGCCTTGCATGCCCTCACCGCACGCCATTGACTAGTTTTGGTTAATAATATCAAAATTACGCATAGCTCAACAACAAACGCATAGCTCCCTGCAGCACCATTAAAATAACACTATCATTAACAGAAACGGTTTCTGATACGGAAAATGCATTTACAAATGCGAGAGCATCCACGAGTTTGGTTACGTGTGAGACGGGTCACGGGACTCAATAGGAATGACAGGAGACATAGATGGTGATGAAGGACGCACTTGGTTGTTTTCCAGTCGATAGTGAGTTGAATTCGAAGATCGTCGCCTTCCCAAGTTGATGCCTGCCGCAGCCAGATGACCCCCGGACGGTCGGAGATCGTGGCTCTTTCCAGGTCGTCCCGTGCTCTCCACCGGTTCTTTCTCCTCCTTCGTCATCTTCTCTCGCGATTCTGTCAGTGACCGCGCAGTAAAATCATGCCGATTTCTATTTCATGGGCCACCAGCAAAGTAAGAGCTCTTATGTGAGACAAAGAATATTTAATTTTTTTCGATTGTTGTACTCGGGGGAAGCGAAAGGGAAACTACGCTTCTTATAACATTGATGCAGTTATAAATCTTTCCCGGAGAGAGAGAAACAACTATCGGGCCTACAAGGGCTCTCTACAGTCGTGCCTTTAAAATATTTTTCAAATTATATTCTCGCCGATCTCCACTAATGTTTGGCAAGCTTCAGACATGAGCAAACCTCAGAAAAGGAAAAGAAAGCTGTACGTGTTGCAAAACAGGTGGTGTGAGATGCCTTCCGTGATGAGGAAACCCGTGACGAGTTGGCAAAGGTGGTCGGCGAAAATTATTCCCAACTGTATCCCTAGACTTTTAACTTGGAGACCGAATGGGATCTATTTCGATCTAGCGTTTTGGCTGCAACAAAGTGACGGACAGAAAACGTGTCGAAATGGAGCACAGTGACGTCGAGTGGACTCCCTGCGGACCTCACAAGTGCGTCAGGGTGTTCCTGCCAAGACGGACAAAGGGATGTACAAGTCTAGTACGAAGGGTGTCCAAAAAGTTCTCAGTCCGACGGCGATGCAGTGATTTGTCAACAATATAGTTTCATTACGATTTTTCAACATAGTCACCCTTAATAGCACTCCTTCCATCTATCTTAAGCATCAATACGTCGGTCTTAAACCACTCCTTCTTGAACCCCTCGAATCACTTTTGCACTTCATTACATTGTCATCCTGAAATCTCTTCGGATGTCGAAACATGTAACAATCACTGGCCAGATCGGGCGAATAAGGTGGGTGCGGCACTCGTTCGAAGCCAGCTTCACGAAGGGCGACCAGTGAAACATTGGCTGCGTGAGCTGGTGCATTGTCAAGTAAAATGAGTACCCCTTCCCTCAACTTTCCTGGGCGCTTCTTCGTGGATTCGCGTGATATCCCCAGTAATGCAGCAAAGTGCTGACCCGTGATCGTACTGCTGGGAGGCATATCATCGATGCAAATAACTCCCGCTGTATCTCAGAATATCATCGCCATGATTTTCGCCAGCGGAATTCCAAATCCGAAGCTTCCTGAGTGGCGCAGAGTCCTCGTGCCGCTACTGCATCGACAGCTGCTTGGATCCTGCATCCCAGTGGCCCAGCCAGGTTTCGTCCCCAGTAATTGGGTGAAAAAGAGTCTGCTGGATCTGCGTTGAACCAGTCCAGATTCCGTCGACTCCACTTATTATGACCCTGTCACCATGTTGAATGACATTCAGGGTGCTCAGTGGTCACAAACCTCCCACGGTCCCAGCTTTTCGTGCCAGATGGTTTTAACACTGTCCTTTGAGATGCCTAATACCTGTACTATTTCTCTCCTTCGATCCGTCTGTCCTCCATATACAACTCTTCTACGACAATACAAGTTTCCTCTGTTACCTCGGATGGTCGACCCGGGCGAGGGTAATCTTCGATTGAATCACATCCTCGTAGGAGTTCAGCTTCCCACTTCTTTATTGAATTGAAGGAAGGTGAATGATCTTCATAAACGTTCAGCATAATTATCTTTCGCGATGAGCCTCCCTTTGGTGAAAACGGCAAGTTCCTTAATAAGTCTGGGGAATCTCCGTTGTGCCTCCTCCACAACTTTCTGCAATGCCCTTCTCTATCCCACTCGCAGTAAACCTGATACCCCCGATCTCCTCCTTAGCGCCGATGAGTCTAGCTGATGGCAGGGCTGCCCAGAGGGAGGGGGGGGGGGGGAATTGGGGCAATCTACCCCGGACCCCACGTATCAAGGGGTCCCAAGGGGGGGGCCTCCAAGGGCCTCAAGGAGGCCCCCAAGGGGTCTCCGGTTTAGTTTTGCCCCGGGCCCCTGGAAACCTCTGGGCGGCCCTGGCTGATGGATCCAACTGGTCCTCCAAGACAAACACGACAGACCTCTTTCACCATGTCCGCATATCCAACCCAACCCAGATAAATGCACTTCATAACCATTCTGCCCTAGATTGAATAGTACTTTGCGCTACTGCTGATGCTTTTTGCATATATTACTCAGTACTACTGCCGATTCTGTTATTTATAGGAACCTCGTGACTCCTGTCGAAATAAGTGGGGCTTCTAATCCTCCGATTACCCCAAAAACAACTAAATCCTGCCAACAACGATAACTAATGAGAAACCCTTAACTACAGCGCCAAAATGACTGCGAATCTCTTACTCAACCTTCGAGAGAAATAGCTAAGTACTCTTCTACTGCTCGTAGCCACAGTACTGCTGACCCACGACTTCATTGCCAAACCGTGAGAGCAGCTGCAAGAACGTCATCACCATACGTTCACTCCACAGGTATTTCTTGATCTCAGTCCTCTCTTCGGAGAGAATATCACAATAGCAGTGTCATTATAGCCTATGGTGTTCACCGTCTGCTACCCCTACCACAATTACTCTTGGCGGCATTGAGCTACGGACGAGTCAATGTAAGCATATTCCATTACCTTTAGTGCTCTCTCTGTCCTCCATATCTCATTATACGTATTCATTTATAACGATGCGTAAGATTATATTTCACTTGCTTCACTTTACTCACTTCGCGAAAGTACTTAACGAATTTACTTTTTTCAGCACTGCCCTTATTAGGAAGTAAGCACTTGAGCAGTTGGCCTGGCGACTTAGGGGCCCCCCGGGAAATTGCTGACAAAGAGAGCACCTCCCACCCCCATAATGCAGACCAAGGGGCCCCCAAGGAAATTTCTGGTATCCCGGTGGGTCAGTTCAACCCTGCATGTGATTCCAAAGACGCACACCCTGAAGCAAGAGGAGTCCATCGGCTGAATACCACATTTTTCCAAATCTCTTCGGTTGATTTTGCTTCAGCTCGCTATATCCGATAGTGCGTGATCTGACCAAGGAGTAGATGAAGCGAACCACGTGCTTCCATTCCTTGAAAAGTGACTGGATCGTTGCCGATGAGATTCAATGATCCCAGTGACCTTGGGGAAAAGAGGAAGTTTATCGAGTTGGAAGTTCATGCTTGAGAGCGAGCTGTGAGGTTGGGAAGTTGTATGGGGAGGGGAAGGGAAGTGCACTGCTAGAACACGTGAGATAAGCCTCGAAAACATGGACTGAAACCACGCGGAAAGCCAAATTGAGGCCACGCGACAGAAAGTGCGCATGCGCATACCCCTCTTTCTCGAATTCTCCGTGCGATAGTATCACGTTAGTGAAGGTAACCGTCCGTCGACCTCTTGCCGTCGAGACTTACAATAAATATCGTATCAATGGGACTTACCGGAAGGAAGAAGAGACCGGAGGATCGTGAGGATGGAAGGAAGACTGGGGGTGTTCCGCTCATGCTTAGGGTTGTGGAGGCCGAGAATAGGCCCCGGATTCCCTTACTCTTACCTACATCGCGCAACTCCCATCCCATCCCTCTTTCCCCTCCCTTCCTCCGAGTTTTTTTTTTTTTCCTTCACTGGAGGGACTCTCGGAGTATGTAGACAAACGCATTTATTCTTCATGTATCTCTCCCTCGCCCTGCTTCAGCCACTCCATTGTGCATAGTGCCCCAAAATCCCTTCAGGGATTCCTCTGCTAGGAAGAAGAGAAAGGTCGTGCAGGCAAATAAATCCCGTGCCATTAGTGTCATTAATGAAGGAACAAGGAAAAGTTTTCACGAGGTCGGATTGGGTGTGTAAAAATAGGCACGGCAACACTTGCAATGGCTAGGGCTCAAGTTCCTCTTTCGGCATCACGAACTCTGTTTCTATCATGCATGCAGTCTCGTGCTTGGAATTTTAAGAATAGGCAACGGTACTTGCTCGGACCTTTCCTTTTTTCCTCATCCTCTTCTCAACGCACAGGTGCGACAAAGAGTGAGGGGCCATCGACAATAAAAACCTATCTGCGTGCAGGGCTATCATTTTCAGGGTTTCTTTGCAATCTAGGTCCATATTCCATGAAAATGTTTGCTGTAAACCGCAAGACATTGCCAAACGTAGGGAAGAGAACCTCGCCTTCGACGAAAAAAGGCTATATTTGAACGTAAACATGAGTCTAGAAGAACCGATATGATTCTCTCACTTCTCCTTCGGGAAACTGAATCGGCTTTGCATTTTTCCAGACCCAGAGACTTTCTCAAATTCGTGTCGTTGACCATTTCTCATCATAGAGAAGTCAATTGAGGATCGGGTTCCTCTAAAAAAATTCATTAAATTCAAAATGGCATGATGACTTTTTGGAGAAATTCTCCCCTCGATGTTGGAGTACGCTAAAGAGCGTTTCACACTTAGCGTGTGAAGTGTCCTTCGCGTGGATGCTTGGGTAGGTAGGCAGACGCGCGCGTGCACACGCATGTCCGCGTACATCCAAGCGTTTCCATAAAACGCAAGGCTTACGTGTGGAATTGGGATCAGTTCAATTCGGGGACGTCCGCACGCATGCATGTGAGAAGGAAGGTTTAGGAGAGGAAATTCGCCCGGTGCGTCAAAATGCCGTCATATCTATGTGACAAGACGCTCTGTAGTTCTGTCGGCACCGATGGAGACGCAGGTACGAACAAATAACATGTAAACATGAAAAGTTTGTGCTTCCTACATGGATTGTTATATCGCACCGTCACATGCAAGAGACGCAAAGTGTAAAACGGCCTTACGAGAAGCGAAGGGCTCAACGCGTCTTCATCAACTCGAGCATAATGAGAATTCCTACATTCCTGCTGATTCCGAAGCGTATTCCGTGGGAAGGGAGAAAGGATGAAGAGGGAAGGTGGGAAGGGAGAAAGGATGGAAAGGGTAATTCCTACTGTCTTTCTTACGAACAAGGATTTTTGTTTCCTGTCACAAGGCGCATAGACTGAAGAACCTTTTCTAACGAAATTATATTCGCGCTTCGGAGGTTGTGCAGTAACGTGAAAGAAATCATACGAAAAATATCAGTAATTTAGCATGGATGTGATCACCGTGCGGGATCATCAATTGTTTCTCTGCGCCGTGTCCATGAGGGTTTTCATCCGTCTGTCTGTCGTCATTTAAGAAGCCGTTAGGCACGAGGAAGCCCTTAGCGAAAAGACAGTTGAATCAGTGAGCGGTAATGGCCTTTTCATGGAGAATCTTGTTAAAGAATCGTAGCTAATCGTAGTTAAAGAAGCGTAGCTAATAGAAGTAAGTAAAGGCCATTTAGGAAGCCAAAATCGGGCCTTGGAGCATTTCCGTGGGTGCCGCTGACCCTATTGCTTGGCATTTCATGAAGCAGTTCGCTTCCACTTCATAATATCCCGTGATAGATGGCTGAAACAGCAGGAAAATCTTCAATGCAATGATTCAATTCAATTATAGAAGTTCAGAGATCCTGCGACTCCCAAGTTGCAAATAATTGATTGTTAAAAGCACTCCTCTCCCGGAAGCAGGTATGTACCGAAGATCCTAACGAGATTCTCTGCCTCGAAATTCACCTCCAATGCACGTGGCCCTTCCGCCCGGGTGGATGCAGGTGGAGGTTATGTACAAGATGTCTCTCCGTGGTCATCGGCTCACCAGAGAAACACGCGTTCATCATCTCAGTTGAAACGCTTACGAAGCAAGCTAATCCTAGAAGTGAATGTTATTTCACTTAAGTCGAGCTACACTTTCATGCCTTATTGAACAATTTACAAGGACTGCTGGATTTCGAGCTCAACGATTCGTATCTCCATCCGAAAAAAAATGGAGAAGTGACAGACTGGATGAAATTTCTCCCGTGCGTACTTCGTAGGAGGAGGAAACGGTTGCATCTCGATCAAGTATTCTCAGAGCTTGCCGCCTTTTCCTTCAGTCACTTTTTGCTACTCGTCTCGCCCCTGCAGGCGCAGACGTTCATTCTTAATTTAACATTCACTCACCAAGTGACTCAGCTGTAACTGTACGCTGAACGTTCTGGAAGGAAACGCTCATCTGCTCATATTCAGTCCTCCAGTCATGTCAATTCTTCTTCCTCAAAAATATGTCCCACAACTTTCCACAATTTTTTTAGCATTTTTGAAGCAGTCAACCCTTCCCAAAACAGACTTCATTAATTATTTTTAATTCACCAAAGAAATAAAATGCTTACTCCTCCGGTTACAGTAATAGATCTACCAAAGTGGTAAATTTTTATTATTCATACCTCTGGAGATTAAGAGGAAAAAGTTTTACGAAGCCTCCGAATTGCTTCCGAAGGAATCCTCCTGCTTTCTCTTTGATGCAGCGAAGGAAGAAAAACTGGGAGTTGTTGGTGTTGGCGGAGGAAAAGGAGGCTTAACGAGCCGCTGCTGAGAAATGTGCACGCATTAAATTTGCGATAAAAAGTCTGCTTTTGGCACGAACCAGGCCAAGAATAGTTTAGTTTATATGAGGTCCATGGCAATGCAGCAGAGCAGAAACGTACAGGAGGTACATGTTTTGCAGGTCATGACACCCGTTCTTGAGGACCCCAAGTGTACGCCGTTTCGGTTCCAAGGGCGTTCGGAAGATCTGCATATGAACTTCAATTGTCATGGATGAGGGACCTCACGGTGAGCTTTTGTGAGACAACGCCTCGGCGCCACGTCCCGGCAGTCAGCGAATCGTCACACAGGATAGAGATCGGTGCATTATTATTATTTTTACTATTATTATTAGCAGATTGTATTAAGAAAGTATGGGAATCCCTCATTAATGTCACCGTGATGCCAAGGTGCATCAGTGCCAGCTACCTCCGAAGGAATACGGTCCGAACGACGTTATGTAATGCATTACTTTAAAGTACTCTTATAAAACTCCAGAAGATTGTCTAATTGATGCTTGTCGGGATAAAATTCCTGTCTGTTTACACTTCTCTGTTCCCATGCAAAACCCCAGCATTTAAGAGTTTCCGGAAATGTTGATTTCCATTTATGCATCATAATTATACTTCTACCTCATACGTGTCCATAAGTATGAAAATGAGAAGAGGACAGAGGAAGGAAGAAAAGTTTCTCCTAAGGTCCGATGTTACCTGACTTAGGTTCGGACGTTCCAGGGAACATGAGCGCCATCTACTCTGCACTTTTGGGTCATGTGCTGGGAACGTACCCATGCGAACGTCTGGACCACATGCATACAAAGGTACGTACGTAGGCATAGATAAGGACCAAACCGACACAATATGTACGTCTCGTACTCTTTCCACTCCTATGTTTCCGCTTCGATGTGAGTGTATTGAGATCATCCGCGTTCAAATTTTCACCATCCTCAAAGTACTAAATTCTGAGTTATCGTGGAACTAATGAGCTTCTCGCAATGGTCACGCCTTCGGCTCTCGACGATCTGAATCAATTATTTATTTCATCTGAAACGTGCGCTTTCGGTGTTAGCACCTTCGAAAGTGGTAGTACTCCATGGATTTTATGCACTTTTCATTGTGACGTCAAGTTACTTCTGGTTACTTTGTGATGCCATTGCGAATTGAGACAACATTAAATAAAGGAGATTTTTAGCCTCCCCTACAGATCTCCCATAGACTTTTCTCTTCATTCAGTACCTTTGACTACTTGGACTTTGATAACTGCAAGAAGAGTTTTGTTCAAGCGAAAACATTTCGTGGTACCCCCCCCCCCCTAAAAAAAAAAACAGGGTGCCTTTCCCCAATTTTAGGGTTTTCTCCGAAATCAATATGCTCCTAGATCGATATTTCCCCCAAGTTCTAGCTTTCTAATCTTCCCGTGGCGTTGGAGCGAAATTTCAGCTCCCTTCACCTGCCCATTTCTCTGGAGCGACAACATTCTTAGGAAAAACGCCCACCAGAAAAAGTGCCCACAGTGGCGCCTAAGTACCTTAAAAGTAGGATTTTTCCTGAGATTTGCACCCCAAGAAATACTCGCGTTCCAGACTTCACTTTCCTAACTTATCAGCCCGTTCTGCTGAAGCGAAAAACTTCGAAAACATGGCCCCCCCCCCAAAAAAAATATATATATTCCCTGAAGAAGGTGTTCTTAGTGCCGAAAATTTTCTGTAACCATCCTGCAATAATCCTGTACTAAGTTTCAGTTTTCTATCATTTCTAGAACATGGTTAGAATCAACTTGAGTCACTCAGTCATGATCGTGTGTATACCGAGTGGCGCAAATAAATTCGTCCGGTCTGAAGCTTCATAAGACCCACTGTAGAAATGCTACATTTGTCCTTTTTATCATCCAAAAACACTCCAAAATTTTATTTAAAAATTTTTTGAAGTCTCTAGGTCGTTTGGGTAAAGAGCAGCAGTCGTTGAAACTTCGATAAGAGAGTTCCTCTTTTCTACATATGGAGAGGCAGCGTTTCAGCTGTGTTCTACGGATGAGTCCCATTTTCAGCTGGAAAGCCAACTTCTTATGGTTGCATTC